TCCTCAGCCTTCACCTACTGGCCCATGGAGGCCCTGCCCCCGCGCCCCAGGGGCGGTCCTCACTGCGGCCCTCTCCCCTCTTGCCCCTCCCGCTTGCCTCTGGCAAGGGTCCAGGCGCCCATAGTCCCAGCCAGTTTGTCACAGGTGGGACAGCCAGACCCCCCCCGGAAGAGCCCTCCCCCGAGCTGCCCGCAGTGGACCAGGGGCCCCGTCTCCGAGGCACGTGCGCAGGGCCTCTTGGCCAGGAGCTCTTCAGGGGGCCTTTGAGGTGCCTTCCAGCCCAGGGCCTCCCCTCCACCCACACCCAACCCCTGTCCGCTGCCAGGTGTCCCCTGCCTGCTGCCTGCTGGAGCTGCTCGGGGGAGGCAGAGAGCACTGCTTGAGTCTGGGGTTGCTCTGAGGGTTCAGCCTTCCAACATCCCCGGGCTCAGCGGCTCTGCCCAGCGGGGCAGGCGCAGAGCTGGGCTGGGCTCTGCTAACTCCAAGCCTGCTCCTTGCCTGTCACGTGTTTGTAATAGTAATGAAAACAGCAATGATGACAGCCAGCCCAGAGCTGCATGCTGAGTGCCAGGCACTGTGCTGAACTCTTCATGGGTCCTGCAGCTGTCCTGCGGGGGAACCAGGCTGAGGGCCCAGCGTCCAGCTCGAGACCCCAGAACCGGATGTGCTGGCTGCAGGGTCCCGATGGCTCCTCGCCCGTCTCGGTTCTTGGTCAGCCCTGGTAGTGCTCCAACAGCCCTGCCCTCGGAGGGCTCTGAGCTGCTCAGGAGGTCGGGTCCGCTCCTCCGGCCTGCGGCCGTCAGTGCCCTCAGAGCCCCAGGTCTGGGTGCTCGTGCCAAGACCCTCGGGAGGAGGGCAGCACCGAGGTCCCGTGGGTTGCAACAGCCGTGCCAGAGGGCCCTTCCGCTTCTCTCCGGGACGTGTGCAAGGAAGACCCTGGCGCCAGGGTCAGCTGGGCTCTCGGTATCAGAGAACTCTGTGGACATCGGAGCTGGCTAAGGCCAGCAGCCTGAGGAAGGCGAGCTCGCTGGCTGAGGACGGTGTGAGCAGATGGACAGTGGCTGCTTCTCTGCAGGGCATTGGAGGGACCAGACTGAGTTGCCAGATTGAGGGGCACTTCCTGGCATGCAGGGTTCTCCTCTGCACGGGGAGAGTCTACTCTACCCTGTGTCCAGTCTGAGCCATCACCAGGGCACGGCGTCCTGACTGCGGGTCCTCGGGCACCGCGGTGCGCAGACCCTCGTATTGGTGTCTGTGCCAGTCAGGGTCTTTCTTCTCTATTGCAGGTGACAGGGACCCAGTCAACCCATTTAAGCAGGAGGTCTTGCTAGTTCAGGCACCTGAACAGCTGTTGGGCATCTCTTACCATCTTCCCCAGAGCCGGGCCCCATCCCCTGCTGTCTCTCCACTAGGGCAGGAGGGCAGCCAGCTCCCAGGCTTATGGTCCACCCTCAAGGCTCGAAGGCCTCCTCCTCCACTGAGTCCTGCTGGCTGTCTCTGGACCACTCGTGTGCTGGGCTCTGACGGCCAGGCTGGGAGTGAGGTCAGCTCGCTGGGTCAGGGGCACAGAGCTCGAGGTGGGAAATATCGGTGCCTACCAGATACCTGGCAGGGAGGTGCTGGGCAGCCAGCCCCCACTTCTGCTTCTCTCCAGCTCCTCGGGCAACTGAAAAGGACAAGAGAAGCCCAATTTTGACCTGCCAGACCCTGCTGGGAGAGAGCACCCAGCACCCAGCACAGCGACAGCACTTAGCACCCAGCACTCGGCACAGTGACAGCACTTAGCACCCAGCACTCGGCACAGCAACAGCACTTAGCACCCAGCACTCAGCACAGCGACAGCACTTAGCACCCAGCACTCCGCACAGCGACAGCACTTAGCACTAAGCACTCAGCACTTGGCACAGCGACAGCACTTAGCACTAAGCACTCAGCACTTGGCACAGCGACAGCACTTAGCACTAAGCACTCAGCACTTGGCACAGCGACAGCACTTAGCACCCAGCACTCCGCACAGCGACAGCACTTAGCACTGAGCACTCAGCACTTGGCACAGCGACAGCACTTAGCACCAAGTACTCAGCACAGTGACAGCACTTAGCACTAAGCACCCAGCACTCGGCACAGCGACAGCACTTAGCACCCAGCACTCGGCACAGCGACAGCACTTAGCACCAAGTACTCAGCACAGCGACAGCTCTTAGCACTCAGCACAGCGACAGCTGGCTGGTGACCCTTGTGCCTCGCAGGAGGCCCGAGCTCGGCGTTGCACGGGCGGCTCGCAGCCGAGGTGGCAGATGCTGCGAGGGGTCAGTGTGGCTGTGTGTGCTCACCTGTCCTCGCTAAGTCTGAAGCCGCAGCTGGGCTGTGGGTGCGAGGCACACTGGAGGCAGAAAAGGCCTGTGACCCTGCCGCATGCAGCCCAGCGCCAGCCAGGCCCCAGCGGCAGGGACTCGGCACCGGCAGAGGTACAGGTGCTGTCAGAGAGGTCGCTCAGAGGCCGTCCGTCCTCCGACCATGTCTGTACTGGCCCTGGAAGCCCTCAGCCTGGCCTGGCCTCTCCACCCCACCCAGCTCCCCACCTGTCCCTCCTGCATTGTCACTGTGAGCGCACCCAGGTGGTGCCGACCCCCCACATCTGCTTCAGGCTCAAAGCTGGGCCATCAGCTCACATGATGGACCACCACGGCCTGGGTGCCTGTGGGAGTCTGCGGCCTGGGCCTGGCTGTGTCCCTGCAGAGCCAGAGGGAGATTCTCAAGCACCAGGGCCAGGCCTCTCACTGCCTGTTCAGAACACACCGGGCTCCCCCCTCAGAGGAGAACCACAGGGTGCTGCCTGCGTGGCCTGCGTGGTCTGCCCCGTCCCTCGCCCTTTCTCCTCTCCCAGCCCACAGAGCCCTGCGCTCAGCCACCTGGAGCAGCCTCTGGTCCTCGTCCTGCAGACCCAGGTCCACCCAGGGCCTTGGGTCTGCTTCCACCTCCACAGGAAGCTCCTCGGTCGCGCTGGTCACCGAGTGTGGCTTCTCAGAGCCCTCCCCACGCCCTCTGCCTCACGCAGCCCCTTTGCTCTTCAGGCCGTGCCGGCAGCCTGCCATGTGCCGCTGTCTGTGCCCCGCTGTGGTCCCGAGTGGTGCCTGGCACCGAGGAGACACAGGGTGCTGTCCGGGAAGAGCCTGCGTCCCCAGGGCCCTGCACAGCTGCTCTTTCCTGCAGTTGTCCACTCTCCACTGTACTCAGCTTCCCCAGGTGGACAAGCCCATCTCTGGGAGTCCTTGATGCATGCGGTCCATGTCGACGTGGGAGGGAATGGGTGGGGCAGAGACGGGAGAGCAGTTCCCATCCCCGGGCGCAGGCGCTGGCTGGGCCTGGACCTGAGCGCACACCAGGGCCCTCCAGGGCCACGCAGGTGTGTGGGGGGGGTGCTTCAGGGCGTCTGTGTTGGGGAGGCCCAGCCCAGCCCTCCAGTCATTGCCGTGCAGGGACATGGGCCCCGATGACCCCTCATGTAGAAATTGGGGGAGGGGAGGTGTGCACGGGCTGGGGTCTGTGGGGACCAGCACGGACGGGGTTGGGGACACAGGACCTGCCCTGGCCATCATAGCAGCAGCTGAGCGCTGGAGAGGCCTGGAGTGGGGCGGGTCCTGGACGAGAGACCCTGGGTCCCTGGGGAAGAATGGGGTGTGGGGCCCTGGCAGGGGTGAGGGAACAGTGCCAGGAGCCCTCGGCCCACAACTGTCCCTGCCAAGCCCCTGAGGGCGTCAGGTGTGCGGTGACCCCAGGGCAAGAAGCAGGGTCACCTTGCAGCAGGCGGTTTGCTTTTTGTACTGTTGTTAATATTACTTACTGATTTCAGAGAGAGGAAGGGGGGAGAGATGGAAACATCGACGAGAGAGAACATCAACTGGCCGCCTCCTGCACGCCCCCCACTGGGGATCGAACCCACCACTGGGCATGTGCCCTGACTGGGAATTGAACTGGGGACTTCCTGGTGCAGGGTCGACACTCAGCCCCTGAGCCACAGCGGCCAGGAAGGAGGTTTGCTTTCGCTTGGTGTGGGATCCAGCTGTGCCAGGGCTGCAGCGGGGGAGAGGCTGGCCCTGCCCACCGGGCCCCGGCCAGTGGGTGACCTGACTTGCCCCTCGCTGGCGTGGGCGCACCCTCGGGCCACAGGTCCTCGCCTCTGCCTGCCCTACCAGGACCTCCCCGAGAGGCAGCCGAGCTCACAGCACGCTCTGCGGCCAGCAGGCGGGCAGAGGCCCAGGGAGGAAGGGGCCTGCTCGGGCTCACTGCTCAGCCTGGGGGGCTGGCTCCCTGCCCCATAGCGCCCGTGCGGGTGAGCATGCTCAGCCCTCGCCGAAGCCTCAGCCCTGCCCGGGAAGGGCAGGCGCCTCCATCTCCTCTCACAGTCGGGCTGGTCCTCGGGGCTGGTCCTCGGGCTCTCGCTGCGCTTGCTGGGGCACCGCTCCAGGCCTGGGCAGGAGCAAGTCCTGACAGCAAAGCCAGGTCCCGGGCTGCTGGGCCCGTCAGGTGACGAGTGCCAGCCCAGGAGGAGAGGGTCGAGCGGGGGTGCAGGAGCGTGGACAGCGTGCAGAGTCCGCGCTCAGCGGGTCAGAGGCGGTTTGTCCTCTGGGTGCCGCAGGGCCGTGGAAGGCAGACCAGCTGGGCAAGGGGTTCCAGTCTGCCTGGCAGTCAGCACGGAGCACCGGCTTCTACTCAGTGGGGAGCACAGAGCTGGGTGGGCAGGGGCTGGTTCTTACAGGGCTGGTGTTTGGGACAGTGCGGGCAGCTGGGGAGGGGCCCTGCTCCAGAACCCATGCTGTGCTCCTGTGACTGCCCAGTCTTGGTGCAGTTCTGGGTTCCCCCATGTTGCAGGCGGGACGGGACCGGGTGCCTGGAGCCTGGGGTCTCCCAGGGCCAGCGGGGTGCTGAGTGCCCGTGGAGGTGGAGAACAAGCCTAGACAGGCGGCGCCGGACTGAGCCTGTCTCTTGTCCCACCCCAGGAAGCCTGAGAAGGGCGTCCAGTACCTCATCGAGCGTGGCTTTGTGCCGGACACCCCGGTGGGAGTGGCCCACTTCCTGCTGCAGCGCAAGGGCCTGAGCCGGCAGATGATCGGCGAGTTCCTGGGCAACAGGCAGAAGCAGTTCAACCGGGATGTGCTGGAGTGAGTTCTGGGGCGGGGGTCGGGCCTATGGCCTGTCGGGCTGGCTCCTGGGCACCCACACCCTTTTCCACATACCCTCCTGGGCACACGTGGGCGTGCACCCTGGCGCCCCTTCACGCACCCTTGGCCCCTCCACCCCTCTGCAGACAGGCTGAGCCACCCAGCACTCGGTGAGGCAGGGGTGTGGGAGGTCAGGGCCCCCACATACGCCTCTGCAGGTGGGGAGCCACCCAGAGAGACTCCAGTGCCTCCAGGACGGGCAGCAGCACGCCAGATCTCGGCCGCTGCTCCTCCCTCCTGTCCTGCAGGGGAGATGGGGAGAGTCTATCCCCGCCCCCCCCCCCCCCCCGCCCGGTCAGCTGGCAGCCGGAGCACTTGGCCGTCTGGAACCAGCAGGAAAACGGTGCTCAGCTCCCGGGAGCTGCTGGCAGTTTTGAGAAGTCGCCCAGCATGGACCCTAATCTCTCGACTCCCCGAGATGGTCCTGAGTAGAAAGGCACCTGTCCTGTTCACCCTCTGCCGTGACCTGGGGGATTTCCCCGGCCTGCTGAGGGCTTTTCCTGACCCAGGCAGTTACGAGCTAACGATACGCTGACCGCGGGCAGATAGTGCAGGAACAGGAGGGCAGCAGGTCAGGAGCTGACCCTCAGCAGCAGTGGCTCTCTGTCCAGCCCCTGCCTCAGGGAAGAGCACAGCGAGGGTGTGGCCCCTGGGTCAGGCCTCTGCAGTGAGCCAAGGCCACCTGCTGCCTCGGTGCCCCCCGGGGAGGCAGTGAGTGCAGCGGCCTCCTCGCACCACAGGTGAGGGAACCAGGGCCAGAGGGGAGGGCTGGGCTGGCGGCCCCAGGCAGGTGGACGCACACACTCACATGCCTCCTCCTTCAGGCACACGCAGGCCCACAGGAGATGCAGTGAGCCAGGCCTCGGGCCGTGGTGCATGGCCAGTCCCCGGCACCGTGTGGAGTCTCTGCCCCTTGGCCAGGTTGCCCATCAGGCTGCCTTCTTCCTGCTCAGCTTGGCGTTTCTGTTCTGGCCTCATTCGGAAAAGCCCGCTCTGTTGTTGCCACGTTAATGCCCCCCCCCCCAGGTGTGAGGAAGCTGTTCAAGGGAACGCTGATTAGCTCCTTGTGAACGGGGCCCAAGGCTGCCCAGTCCCACAGTGATTTCCGCACCGCGCTCTGTGCACCCTCCACACTGGCTCCTGGTCTGAAGGAGATCCGTGCACTGTTCTCCTGGAGTCAGGACATAGCAGCGGCCTCGGGAAGTAGGCCCCCCCCCTCTGCCTCCCACTCGGGAGCTGGTCAGCAGATCATCCCAGGTGGACCCTGCCCCTCACTTCCCCCACCAATGTGCTCAGAGAAGGTTGGGAGCTTATCCTAAGCCCATCACCCCCAGTGCAGGGTAGGCTCTGGGAGTGGGGTTAGGTCCCCCATGGCCAAGACCTCTGCAGCCCCAAGGTGGCCGTGCTTTGTTACTCACATAAATCGGACTCCAGTTTATGCTGTGTGGGTCCTTGGTGCAGACCCCGCCGTCTCTGCTCGAGGGTCCTGCTCAGAGGACAGAGCAGGCTGGGTGCCCATAGGAGCCAGAGACCTCCCCAGGCTCCGCCCTCCATCCTTCTGACTGGCGGACAAGGATGGTGTCCAAACACCGGGCCACACCCCCCATACCCATGAGGTCAGAGGACAGCACTGTGGTTGCTGTGGGAGGGTCAGTGCCCCGGCCCCCACTTCTTGCTGTGAGGATGGGGGTGTCCCGGCCCTCACAGAACACGAGAAGACTCACGCGTGAGGGCTGCTACATGCCTGGGTAGCCATAGTCTGAACGTTTGTGTCCGCACAAGGGCCCTCAGTGAGAACAGCCCGAAAGAGTCTAGAAAATCGCACATGTGGACACGCACACCGACACCCTCCTGCGGCCTCAGGCTCCGCGGACTCCCCAGCAGCACCGGGGTCTGTGGCCGTGATCTGAGTGGTTTGCTGGCTGGAGGATGCCGAGCAGATGCCCAGACAAGGGGCAGCCCTGGCCCCACGCCCTCTAGGAGCTCACCGGCTCCGCTTGCGGGACAGGCCCGCAGAGGACACTGACACGCCTTGTTCTGTTTCAGCTGCGTGGTGGACGAGATGGACTTCTCCGCCATGGAGCTGGACGAAGCCCTCAGGAAGTTCCAGGCGCACATCCGGGTGCAGGGGGAGGCGCAGAAGGTGGAGCGGCTCATCGAGGCCTTCAGGTTGGGCTGCAGCAGGGCAGGGAGGGCATCCGGGGGGGACGTCCCCAGCTCGAGTTGGTTCACCTTCGCCCCTGCCCTGCGCAGGGTCAGGTGGCCCCGAGCTCCCTGGGTGAGGCGGAAGCCGCTCCCGGGCGCCAGGCGCTGTGCTGCTTGGTGCTAGAGCCAGGGTCTCCATCTCCGTCCGAGTCCTCGGGAGCCGCACGGTCACGAGCCCTCTGTTCTCGTCAGGGTGCCCTCGGGCTGCTCCCCCAGCGGCCCAGAGCCGGACAGCCCCTGTGACACCCACCCCACCGCTCATCAGCTCGGCCCGCTGCTTCTGGCCTCTGCCCTGCGCTTGCCTGTGCAGTGAGCTGACCGGCCGCCTGTCCTCGGCGTGGCGGGAGCACTCAGCTGCTGCAGGGAGAGCTGTCCTGGCCGGGACTGCACACTGTCTGCAGGGCTCCGAGCCTGCGGGCGGGGCAGGCAGTGGTGGGCACGGGAATGAGGGCTCGGGAGGAGGCCCACAGGAGGCTGTCTGAGGGACCAGGCCTTCTGAGTACCAAGTACTTGGAGCCCAGCTTTACCTCTGCAAGCTGATGCTGAGCCCTGTGCAGCCCTGGTGGGGTGGGCAGGTGGCAAGGGCAATGGCCCCTGAAGCCCGGGGCATGTGGTCTTCACCCCGAGAGCCACTGGCAGCTCCAGTCCAGGGGAGGAGGGCAAGTGGACAGTCAGGGCCAGCTCTCTGCCGGGCAAGTGTTGCCCCCAAGGCCCCAAGGGTGGTGGCCACCTCAGCTGCTCAGTGCCAGGCGGGGCCGTGGCCGCCACGCAGAGCGGCAGGAGGTGCTCTCCCAGCGCTGACCCCCCTCTCCGGCCCCCAGCCAGCGCTACTGCATCTGCAACCCGGGGGTGGTGCGGCAGTTCCGGAACCCAGACACCATCTTCATCCTGGCCTTCGCCATCATCCTGCTCAACACGGACATGTACAGCCCCAACGTCAAGCCCGAGCGCAAGATGAAGCTGGAGGACTTCGTCCGGAACCTCCGAGGTGAGCTGCTCGGGCCCGGGCTCAGACACACGGCCTCACGCTGGGTGCAGGGAGGGCAGGGGCCTGGCTCCGGCACCCTGAGTTCTTGGTCAGAGGGGCCTCAGTGAGTGTTGGTCCCAAGAATGTGTGGACACAGCACAGGTCACCATAAGGAGCGAGTGCTGTCTTAGGGGTGCACGTGGGCAGAACATGGCTGGGTCTTGGGATGCAGGGGCCCTGACTCCCGGAGGAGGTGACGTTTTTAGCTAGTAGTTATTAGAGGTGTACCCACTGGGGTTCGACAGGTGGAGGTGGAGCGAAGTTAGTCACAATGGGGCAGAGGCCTGAGGAACCAGCTCAGCACAGCGCCAGAGGGTTGGGGGGACCTGCAGGAGCCCAGGGGAGCCCTGGCACTGAGAGTCCCGAGGCCTCCAGCAGGCGGGAGCTGGACAGACGGGCCATCACCCCACCCGCCACTGCTTGCCCTGCCCAGCAGCTGCCCAGCCACCATCCGGCATCATGTTCCTCTCAAAACCGACTGGCCTTTTGGCTTTGTCTGTCTATTCAGATACGTTGTTAAAGGAACCTCGTATCAGCACTGCAGATGGGAAGCCAGTAGCGTGTGCCACACAGGCAGCGTTATAACAGTGGGCACAGGGCCCTGGCCGGTTGGGCTCAGCAGTTAGAGCATCGGCCTGCGGTCCAGAGAGACCCGGTTTCGGTTCCCGCTAAGGACACGTACCTCGGTTGCAGTTTGTCCCCGGCCCTGGTTGGGTCATGTGGATGGCAACCACTCGATGTGTCCCTTTCACGTCGATGTTTCTCTCTCTCTCTCTCTCTCTCCCTCCCTCCCTCCCACTCTATCTGAACAAAAAATGGAAAAATGTCCTCAGGTGAGGATATAAAAAAAAAAGTGGGTGCAGGACTGAGAGAGCGCCCTGTTGATTCCAGCAGGAGCTGTTTCTGGCGGGGCCCAAGGCTGAGACTGCCCTCCCTTCCTCCGCAGGTGTGCCCTGTGAGACAGGTGCTGGGGGGAGGCAGCGGGAAGGGAGGGTCAGACAGGGAAGGGGTCAAAGAGGGAGCGGCTGTCTCCCACTGACGCCTGGCAGCTGCCGCATGTGCCTGGGGACCTGGATACCCTGGAGGGGCAGGGGCTGCGTCCTGCCCTGGAGACACCAGCTGCCGAAGGAGGCACATTCCACCTTTTTACTTGTTTCACATAAAAGTCCTCAGTATGTTAACCCTCTCCTGACAGTCTGCAGTCAGCACAGTCCCTGGACAGCCTCTCTCCCGCCGTCCGGCCCCGGCCCCGGCCCCAGCCCCTGCCGGCCTCTGCAGCCCGGCGGCTTTCACTGTTCTTGCCTCTCTTTCTCTTCTGAGTCTCCTTCCCCTGCGAGTCTGTCTGGGTTCATCTCCCTTCGCATAACCAGGGGTCACACAGCCACAGCCGCCACCAGAACGGGTCTGACTCCAAACCCAAAGATGCCATCTGGTGGGGCTCATGCGGCCCGGCTGGTTTTCCCCAGATTTCTGTCGGGCACTGTCGCCTTCCCAGGGAGAAGGACGTAAAGTGGTCTGTCAGTCAAGAACTGCCTGGTCCCAACAGTTACTACCACTCGTGATGGCGGCTGATCTTCAAGCAGCCAGGGAGGTCTCCTGATTTTAAAATGGAAAAGAAGCCTGAAGCAAGCCCAGCTGTGAGCTTGTTGAGCTCTTTAAAATTTCTACTCTTTATTTTTGCAGTAAAGGCTGCTCTGTTCCTCCCTCTCCTGGGTTAGATCACTGTCCTGTGGAAGGTCTCTGGGTCCCCTCGTCCTTGCGCCATCCTAGTGCGCCCCCTAACGGTGGGCAGCGCCATGACAGGAAGACTGGAGAGAGCAGAGGCCAGGACTGCTCCTCCCACGCTGCTGGCCCCTGAGGGCAGGGGGCTTACTTCAGAGCACTCGGGTCCCCTGCACGGGGCGCTCACTGTGGAGGCCCTCTGCTGACCCCCTCCCTCAATAGCCTCGCCAACAGTTTATCGAACTTCCGGACTTGTGCCAGGCTGAGGTCTGAGGATGCGTGTGGGTCAGGGTTTCTCTTGTGGGTGGGGCTGTTTCTTTCCTCTCAGCAGTTTTCACGGCAGGTGCGTGTGGTCAGAGTGGGGGTGTGCGCCCTGACCCCGGCCTGTGCCCACGAGATGGGGTGCAGCAGGTGTGCGTGTGGTCAGAGTGGGGGTGTGCGCCCTGACCCTGGCCTGTGCCCACGAGATGGGGTGCAGTAGCACAGAACTGCTGAGAAACACCAAGCTCTCCCTTAGGGGGCGCAGCCCGCTCACAGCTCCTCACCACAGCCTGGGCCCCATGTCCTGGGCCCTCTCCCAGGCACCAGCTCAGAAGGACTAAGTCACCAGGCTGACAGAGGGTGAGGGGGCCTTGGGCCCAGCGCTGGAGCACGAAATGACAGTCCCTGTTCACACAGCCTTCCCTGCCCTGACCCAGCCCCTGCCCCAGGCCTGGCTTCTCATCTGTCAGATGGGGATGGTCATGCTCACCCCACAGGGCTGTGGCCAGGACCAGCAAGGTCCAGGTGGCTGTGCTGGCCTCGTGTCTGGGGGAGGGATTCTGAGGGACTTGTGGCTGACAGAGGACATTCAGTGGGTATGGGCCTGGGCCTTCTGTGGCCCTGTGGGCACTGGGGGAAGGGGTCACTGTGGGCCTGGGCCTTCTGTGGCTCTGTGGGCACCGGGGGAAGGGGTCACTGTGGGCCTGGGCCTTCTGTGGCTCTCTGGGCACCGGGGGAAGGGGTCACTGTAGGCCTGGACCTTCTGTGGCTCTGTGGGCACCGGGGGAAGGGGTCACTGTGGGCCTGGACCTTCTGTGGCTCTGTGGGCACCGGGGGAAGGGGTCACTGTGGGCCTGGACCTTCTGTGGCTCTGTGGGCACCGGGGGAAGGGGTCACTGTAGGCCTGGACCTTCTGTGGCCCTGTGGGCACCGGGGGAAGGGTTCACTGTTCCAACTTGGTTTAGAACCTGGTAAACTGGAGTAAGCCTGGGGCCCCAGCCGGACTGATGCCTGGCCACTGTCCCTTGCCAGGTGTGGACGATGGCGAGGACATTCCCCGGGAGACGCTGATTGGGATCTATGAACGGATCCGCAAGCGGGAGCTCAAGACCAACGAGGACCATGTGTCCCAGGTGCAGAAGGTGGAGAAGCTCATCGTGGGGAAGAAGCCGGTATGTGGTGGCCCCAGGGCTGTGGGCCTGAGATGCTCCCATCCCCTCCTCACCCAGGCGCCCTGCTGGCCTTGGCTTCTGCCAGTGGCCCTGATGCCCTTTCCAGCAGGGCTGGTGAATTCTTCCAGGATTTGGGTTTCTTTGGCCTCTAACATTTGGGAATAACCACCATTTATTCTGGATTGAAGAGAACCTGAGGCTTCAATGAACCCATGGGCGGGGCAGGGCCTGGGACCCCTCTGCCTGCCCCTGGGTGGGGCTGGGCGAGCGGAGGGGAGGGCCTTGAGGGGCACAGCTCTCTGCAGTTGCTGCCAGTAGAGCCCTCAGGACCCAGGTGCACATGTGAAACATTGATCTCTTTTTTTTCTTCCTGTTTCCCTGTGTAGATTGGATCCCTGCATCCTGGGCTCGGCTGTGTGAGTACCCTCTGCTTCCACATTCTGGCTGATCTCTCACCACATCTCCCCACTGCCAGATCCGCAGTCTGGCTGTTTGCGTTAATTCTGGAACAATAAGAAATGTTACTTTCACAGTTTAGTCTTGAGTCTCTGGCGGCCGAGACCACAGCCTCACGGGAGGGCTGCCAGCTGACAGGGTGGCCTCTGGGCCCGGTGGAGCTGAGGCCGAGGTCTGTGCACCGACCTGAGACACTGTGCACTGTGCCAGATGTTCACTGGAGGCCCCTTTTCCCCCCAGCCCAGCTCTGCACCCCAAAGCTGCCCCTATTATCAGGGCCCTCTCCCCGCCACAGCCTTGCAGATGCCGGCTGCACACTCCTGGGCACGCGGACACGCCAGGCCCTCTGACTGCCTCCCTTCCGAGTCTCCCAAGAGAGACCACGAGCCCTGGACACACCTGCGACCTGCCCTCATCCACCTCTCCAGCCCCACATCCCACCATCCACTTTCCTTTGTGCTTCTGCTCCAGACAGTGCTGTCCCTGAGTGTGATGTGCTGAGCTCGGGCACCCTTCTGCCAGGCACCCCTCTGCTAGGCACCCTTGCAAACTTGGTACCCTTGCAGAGTTCATGCTCCCTGGCTGTGGCCATGCTTGTCCCTGGGGTCTTACCTGGGTGTGGACTGTCGCCTTACTAACGTGCCTGTCTCCCGTGGGGTTTGGGCACCCCCAGAGCCATGAGTGGGCCTCCAGAGTGTGTCATACAGGCCTTGACAGCTGCTTGGATCCGGCAAGGTGGGGGGCTCTTTAAACCTGTGGCAAGTGTGTTCCGAGGCAGGTGTGCAGAGCGGAGGGTCAGATTAGGCCCCACAGAGTTTGGACAGGGTCTTCCAGGCTTCAGAAATGTTGGAATCTTTTAGGAGAGGCTGGGAGGGGGACAGCCCTGAAGCTCTGAGCTTCCTGACTGTGTGGCCAGGGCAAGTTGTTCAACCTCTCTGTGCCTCAGTTTTCTCTTGTAGAGAAGTATTTGCAGGGACTAATGGGCGCCTTGGTGACTCAGCAAACAAGCATTCCTGTCTGGCTGGGGCTCGCATGTGAGCACAGTGTTCGTTAGGAAGTCTGGGACCTGCCGGAGAGAGCAAGCAGTCTCTCCAGAATTGGCGCACTTACCCTGGTCCTACAGGACAGAGCAGGAAAATGGCCACAAGCCCAACATGGTCCATTCTGCGTGGTTGTAAAAAGAAAAAAAAAAGTCATTTTGAACACAAGGCCCAGGACTGGGTTCCTTGCACTGGGGCTGGACTCTCCTGCTGCCAGGCCCAGGGGCACCTCCTGAGGACGGCGTTTCCCTCCCCACAGGTCCTCTCTCTGCCTCACCGGCGGCTGGTCTGCTACTGCCGGCTCTTCGAGGTCCCGGACCCCAACAAGCCCCAAAAACTCGGACTGCACCAGCGAGAGATCTTCCTGTTTAACGACCTCCTGGTGGTACGTGGTTCCCCACCATGCATGGCTGACAGGCTAGGCAGGGCAGTCCCACAGGGGTGGGGTGGGGTGAGGGGTGGAGTTGGCCCAGGTCACTGGGAGCAGGTAACAAGCAGCTGCTCTTGAACAGGGGCTCCCCTGGCTTGCGCGAAAGTCCAGAGGCTCCAACACGGCAGCAAGACTCCTGGGGTGATCATTTCTCAGCTTTGCAGGCTCCTCCCTGTGGGCTCCCCCCTCCGGCCCACCCAGAAGGGAAAGCGACCTCAGCAGCTCAGGCCCACCCCGTCCCCTTGGCCCCCAGTGGGGTTCTCCTGAGACTCCCAGTAAAGCCTTGTTCCCACGCCCACGTGGGCCCGGCAGGTGCGGGGCTGCCTCTGGCTAAGCGGGCGCCAGGCTACGGATTGAGGGTGGCAGGGGGGTTCCCCAAAGAGAGACCGAGGAGCTCTTGCTCAGAAAGAGGCAGTGCGGACGGGAGCCCGCGGGGCGAAGATGCCCCTGCAGAGCGCGGGGCCTTGCTCGGGTCTCTGTCCCTAGTCCCCGCCTGCTCGAGGACCAGCTGTGCTCCCGGGATTCCTGAGGTGGGAGCCAGATGTGTGGGTTCAGGTCCCTCCTCCAGCACCCTGACCTTGAGCACCTCCCGTCGCAGCTCTGAGTCTGTTTCTTGGTCACGTGCGTCTCTGAGGGCACAGCGATCGCACCGGCTCCGGACGTCGGCCCGGCGCAGAGTCTCCAGTGGACGGGCGGTGACGTGCCCGTGGCCTCTCGCTGGGTGGCACCAGGGTCTCAGGGGAGCAGAAAGCCGTGTCCCCGTCAGGGCGTGAGGGGCAGCGCTCCTGCGGGGCCTCCCCGGACGGTTCTTACAGGAGAGCAGGGCCCCGTGGGGCCCCTCTCAGCCCCGACTCCCGAAGGTTCCCGGGCGGCAGGCGTGTGGCTCAGCCTCTGTCTCTGCCTCCAGGTCACCAAGATCTTCCAGAAGAAGAAGAACTCGGTGACGTACAACTTCCGGCAGTCGTTCTCCCTGTACGGCATGCAGGTGCTGCTCTTCGAGAGCCAGTGTGAGTGCGCGTGCGCGGGGCGGGCCGCGTCTGGGCGGGGCCGCGGGCGAGTGGGGGCGGGGCGTAGCCACCACGCTCTTCCTGCGCGCAAGGGGCGGGGCCGTGTGGAGGCGGGGGCGTGCGGGGGCGGGGCGTGCGGGGGCGGGGCCGCGGAGCTTCCCTGAAGCTCTGCTGAGCAGCATTAGGAGGAAGCTGAGGGTGTTGTGTATGGTGCTCGTGGGGTTCGCTGTTCCTGTTCCTTCTGGCAGGTGATGAGATACTTTAGGGCAGAGTAGATTTGCTGAAGTAAAATGCTGATAAGAAAGCTGACGTGCATGAAGGTAATAGGGGACTGTACAGGTCCAGGTGAGCCCAGCTCTCCTGGTGTGCTCTCCTGGCCTGGGCTGCTTCACCCTCTGGGCTGCGTTTCCTTTGCCTGTGACATGGGGTGACGCCAGGCCTGGGTCATCGGGTTACATACGTGTAAAGCGCTCCTAGCACAGAGGAGGTACTCGGTCAGGATGCATTAAGTGCAATTGGAACATCTTCGGGTCCTCACGGGGCCTAGGGGTGTGGGGGGGTGGCTGTCTCCAACCAGCACCCCCGCTGACGTCACCTTGTGACCTCACTCCTCGTGTCCCCTGTCTTCCCCCTCTTCCTGTCAGAGGTCCAGGAGCTGCGGGCTGAGCCAGGCTTCCTGAGGGGGCTGGGGGCGGGGCTGGCGGTCCTGTGCCCCCAATGCTGTGGGAGGCCCCAGGGCAGGACGGCGCTGACCGTGCACAGTGCCTCCAGCAATGGGCCACCCTGTCCTTTCTGACAGGCTGCAGGGTGCTGCCTGATCGGCCTTCCATCTGCAGGTTGGAAGTGTCAGGGCCTGGATTTGGGCACTTTACGTCTCCTTTGGCCTGAGCGGGGCCAGCACCTGCCGTGCCCTCTCCTTTCTCACAGGAGAAGCCCAGGTTGCCAACCGCCATCTCCCCACTTCCTGCCCGTTGTCCCCAGCAGCAGCCTGGCCACTTGCACCTCCAGACAGAGGCTGTGCCTGGGTCACTTTCAGATTCCAAGGGCTCAGCCCACGGCCCTGGGCACAGGTGCTAGTAGGAGCTGCCCCTAGTCAGCCTGGCTCAGTTATGTGCTGTTTAGTGTGTATGCTTTTTAAAGGTTGTCGAGCTGAAGTGTAAATCCTCACGTGAATACTTTTTGGTTTCTCGAAAAATAGACATGTTTGGTGTCCCTGGGCCGCACCCCCTCGTGGCGGGGCCTGGGCTGCACACCCACCTGCAGCGCTCAGCTGCTCACAGCCCACCTGCCTGAGCAGACTCGGGGGCTTCTGAGCCTCTGAGCTTCCAGCCTTGACGTGAGTCGAAGGTGGGACTGATGTTTGAGTGAAGGTCCTTCAGACTCCCAGGGGCTGCAGCTCGGTTCCTGCCGAAAGGAGAGGGCGTTCCAGGAGAAGAACCCCTTGAGCTCGGAGGGGCTGCAGGCAGGTCTGGGCAGAGAGGCACACACTCAGCATAGAGAGTGTTGGGTGTGGGGCACCCACAGTGTGCCCCAAGGTCACTCAGGGTCTGGGCCATTTGGGAGTGAATGAGAATGACCAGTGACTGGGTAGGAACTTCTCCGAGCTCTGTCTGCCCTGTCTGCTGGACTCAGCGTCCAGCTGCCCTCCCAGACCTCAGGCAGTGCGGTCGAGGGCCTGGCAGTGAAGGGTCCGGGGCGCATGACCTCCAGGTGCAGAGGAGGTGGCTCTGGCTTCCCCTCAGATGGGCCGGGTCTCCCACTGACTTACATGTACAGGGACAGGGACCCAAGTGGCAGACGGAGGTTAACTGGTGGTCCCTCCAGTCTGCGCCAGGGAAGCCTTTTCTCCTGTCAGACGTGCTGCCGAGGGCCTGCACTTAGGCCGCCTCTCTCACGCCCCCACCCGGACCTCCTGGTCTTTTCTCGGCCGGAAGCAGACGGCAGAGTGGGGCCATGCTCTCTCCTTCCCTCGGCAGACTACCCCAATGGCATCCGGCTCACATCGGCAGTCCCCGGAGCAGACACAAAAGTGTTAATAAGCTTTAACGCCCCCAATCCTCAAGATCGGAAGAAATTCAGTGACGACCTCCGGGAGTCTATCGCAGAGGTGCAGGAGATGGAGAAGCACCGGATAGAGTGTGAGTCACAGACAGGGGAGGGGGAGCCCGCACCCCTGGCATCTGGTAGGACAGTGACTCCGAGCCCACTGGAATGAGATGCCCTGGTCTTTCCTGGCACAGAGGGAATGACGGAGGCCTCCTGGTGAGAGGCCAGGCCTGTCCTAACCGGGGAAGCCCCGGTTCCTGGCCAGAGGTCTGAGCTGAGCTCCTTCACTCTGGTTGTCACCCAGCAGAGAGGAGGTGGCAGCCACGCCCGTCAGCTGGGTTCTGGGAGAGCTGATGACAGCCCCTGCTTCTCCCGGCTCAGCCTCACCCCCTGGAGGCTCAGGGGTGCCTAGCATTTTATCTCCAGACCTAGCATCTGTCTCCTTGTTGACCCTCAAGACTGGAAAGTGACTCTCCTGCAGGCACTTTGACCCATCCAGCCTCCCTCCCCAGTCTCCTGTCGCCCATTTTGTTGAAAGAAGCCATCACACCTCTTTCCCAAGACAGTGCTCACCCTTGCTTTCCCGTTTCTGGTAGATGGAGACGGTCCAGTGCCAACCTGACGGGCAGTGGTCCTCTTCATTTCCTCCTGGGGGGACCCAGGCCTGCCCCACCCCACCTTGCCCTCGGGGGCTGTGCTCCTCTCACGGGCCCTGCTCCTCTGGTTGCAGCCGAACTCGAGAAGCAGAAGGGCGTGGTGCGGCCCAGCATGTCCCAGTGCTCCAGCCTCAAAAAGGAGTCCGGCGGCGGGACACTGAGCCGGGCCTGCCTGGACGACAGCTACGCCAGCAGCGAGGGCCTCAAGCGCAGCGCCCTCAGCAGCTCCCTGCGGGACCTCTCGGAAGCTGGTAAGCGCTGAGCCCAGGACCCAGACCGCACTCGGTGGTTGGGCCTGACTTGCCCCGTGTTCCCGTTCTGCCCCCACATCATAGCAGCGCCGGACCCTGCAGACAGGACGGCACCGAGAGGCAAGAGAAAACAACTGAATTGTCAAAGGCAGAATAGCAAGGAAGTGACCCCCATTCTCTCTTTCTTCTCCTCGGGGTTTTGTGTCTTCTCTTACTTATTTCCTGGAAATGGCTCTCCCTGCTGCCACGCCCTGTGTGGTGCTGCTGAGTGACAGGAGCAGGGCGCTCCGAGCTGCCTGAGAACCCCCGCCCTGCTGTCCCTGGTCTGCTTTCTCCCACAGGCCGCCCTTCTGGGTCTCTGTCCAGTTGGCCCTGGGAGTCGGGGAGGCCCTGGTGGAAACTGTGGTGTTTCTTGTTCTTTGTCTGTGTGTGTTTAGCCCCCAAGCAAGCAGCACCCCTCAAGCCTCCCAGCTTTGCTGGGGCAGGGTAGGGTCGTAGTGCCTGGCTGTCAGGGCACAGGCAGCTCCTCCTGGCAGCCCTCAGGAGGCCTGGCCCTCGTGGAGGGCAGGTGACGTGGAGGTGTGGGAGGGCCGCCCCTGCCTGAGGGCTCCTCCAGCCTGCTTTGCCTGCTGCGCACTCAGGGGCTTCGGAGCGAGGGGTGTGCCCTGGCAGTGTCCTCGGTCCCCCAGTCCTGTCCAGCCATCCGCTTCTCCCGGGAGGAGGCTGGGGGTCCACAGTGTGTGAGGATTACAGGGCATTGCACAGGGGGCATGGGGGGTACCCAGCACTGTAGGCTTCTGGGACCCTGGGCCCTACCTGCCCCAAGGCCCCAGGTGTCCTGGCCCCAGGAGCCCCAGCTTTCATGGGGGAGACCTCTCAGGCTGAGATTAGCCTGTTCTCCGGGCTGATCTCCAGGTTCAGTAGCCCCTTCCCTCCTAGGGACTCGCTCACCCCACCTTGCCTCAAGCATCACCAAGTGGCCAGCTCTAGACACCCCCCCATGAGACCCTGCTCATGACCCCATCTGGTACCTGCCTCACCAGCAACTATGTTTCCCTTTGTTTGACTTATTTCCCAGAAATTTTTCCTTTTTTTTGAGTTGGATTTTTTCTTTGCTTTTGCCTTGTCATTTTTCCTCCATAGTGAGAATCAGAACTCCATAGCAGCACGCGGGTAGCCAGGCTTCTCGGCCCAGCCCTGCTGACGTTTACGCCTGGCAATTTCTAATGTGGGGACAGCTCTGTGCAAGAGGGGTGGTGGCCTTCCTGGCTTCCACCTCCTGGCCATGACAATCCTCATGGCCTCAGAAATTGCCAGGTGTCCTCTAGGGGGGAAGTCACCCTTGGTTGAGAGCCACTGGATTTTCCTGTGGCTGTTTAAACCCAGCGACACACATCTGGACTACCGTGGGCCTCTGTAAGCTGGGGCCTGGGGCCTGGGGCCTGCATTTGATCTGTGGAGCGGGCTCTGGCCTCTCTGCCCCGGAGAGCCAGAGGGCCCTGAGTAGCTTCAGGTCGCAGCACTCGGTTGGAGCTGAAGACCGCAGCCTGTGTCCACTTTGCTGGAGCTCAGAGCTCAGGATTCAGACGGAGCCCCGTGCCCAGGCATATGGCCATTTGAGGGATGGAGTTCCAAGGTTTGGCTGATTTCCATTTATTACTATTGCTGCTATCATTTCGGAATTCTGAGCTGAGAAGGATTCTAGGGATTGTGTCCTCTCGGGGATGAAGCTACAATGTAACGTGTTCCCAGGAATTCTGAGCTGAGAAGGATTCTAGGGATTGTGTCCTCTCGGGGATGAAGCTACAATGTAACGTGTTCCCAGGAAAGGAAGGCAGGTTGGAGGGTGAGGTGAGGGGGATGTTTGAGTCCCGGCCACCGCCAAGGCCCCAGACTTGGGACAGGCCACCTGTAGCGTCCCGAGGCTGGCAGGCCAGTGTCCACGGCCTTCGAGAAGACGCTGGGCTCACCAGCCAGAGATGTGGAATCGTGTGCTGTGGACTATGACGGGCAAAGCTCTCCAGAGTCAGTGTCACCCCTGCCTGTCATGGCCTTCACCAAGGTGACCTTGTCAAGAAGAGGCAAGGCCCTGGGCAGCCTGTCGCCTCAGGAAAGGCTCAGTGGTTGGCAAGTGACCCCACCCAGAGGAGCTGCCCAGACCTGCGCTCACACCTCCGTCCAGGAGACAGCACACCAGGACGGGGACCTCAGCCCTTCGTGAACCTTGAGGACCTGAGAGACCATTATGGTTTGATGCCCGTGGCAGCTGATGCCGCCAGGAGCCCCTGGCCTTCTGAGAGTAGAGGACAGGGCCCGGGCCCCAGCCCAAGCTCCCCACTGAGCTGCAAGGCCTCACCCCTGCCCTGCACGTGGCCCCTCGGTTGGAACCTGGGCTCGTTTCAGTGGCGCCTGCAGGCCTGTGGCACGAACAGTGAGGACCTGGACCGTCCCCTGGCCTGAGCCGCCCAGATTGGCCACATCACAGGGCCCCCGAGGTCCTCCCGCCCCTCCCACCAAGCTGCTCAGCACCCATCCTCAGGGAGATTTGGACCTGCCTGCCCCGCCCTCACCCCGGGCAGGGCCGGAGCCGAGGCCTCCTGGCCACCTGTGCCTGAGACAGACGGGCTGTGACTGCCTCTCCCAGGACGGGCCCTGCTTAGGGCTGTGCAGCAGAGGACACGGGCACATCGACTCAGAGTCACACTAATAAGATCCTGCCCCCTGCCTGCTGCTCATCAGCCATCAGGCCGTGGCAGGTCACAGCTCTGGGCCTCAGTCTCCCAGCAGCAAGGTAGGGACCAGTGCTCCCCTCGGAGAGCCCTGTGAGAGTGGGTGCCAAGTGTCAGAGGGCCCGGCGCAGCATGGCTGCTGTCACTAGCTAGGCAGGGGCCTGGCCTCCAGCACTGCCCAGAGCCCAGCGCAGCAGCTCTGGCCCGAGCTGCCTGCATCTGTGCCCACCCGGAGGCGGGGCCCCCTGGACAGGGCTTCCTCAGGCTGGCAGGCCAGGTGCTGGCTGGGCGGGGCTCACCTGAAGCTCCTGCAGGATCCAGAGAAAAGGGGGCAGTTACCTGAGACAGTGCAGGTGAGGGTAGTATGGCTGCGTGGACGTGAGCCCTGCTCCGGCTCTGGCTGTGAGCGGGCAGCGTGCGCGCCTGGACCTGGGCGTGTAGTGGGCAGGAGTCTGGTTGTGCCTGAGGGGGGCTCTGGGATGAGTGCAGAGCTGGCAGGGACACCCCACGTCTCATGCACCTGAGAAGGGGGAGGAAGGTGGATTCTGGGATACTTAAGTTCACGTTGAAGCCCCTCTAAGTCTTGGACCCCTCTGGGCAGGAAGTGGGGCCTGAGAAGGCCAGTCACCTCCTCACACCAGCCAGATGGTGAGGAGATGTGACCTCATCCCACCACCGCTGGGAGTAAGTTCTCCCTGGACCTCGGTAACGTGGGAAACACTCCACCGCATCCACTGTGCGGCCCTGTTCTGAGTGAGCTCTGAGGCTTCACGTGTGTCAGCGTCCAGCAAGGCCTCCTGTGGACCTCAGGCTGGGGAAGGGGGGTCAGCAGGCAAGGCAGAGGGACTGGACCTTCCCTGTGTCTGCCTGGGAGTGAGGCCTGGGCCTGGGCAGGGACACCCCAGCATGCCCAGGTGCTGCCACGAGGCCCAAGGGGCCCACAGGCACACCTCCACAGAGGTGAGGGCCACAGAGGCACGTGGCCATCCCAGTTTTCAGGCTCCTGGCCTGGCTTGGGTCCAGCTCAGAAGGCAGCATTGGCCAGGACCTCCAGCCTCAGACTGACAAGGCAGACCTGGGGGTGAACCTGCTCACTGTGGGAACTGAGCTGGTCAGGCCGTCGGGAGCCTCATTTCCTTTTCCTGGGTGTGGACAGAGGGCAGCTGACCTGCTTCTCTGTGGGCTGACCAGGAGCCAGCATGGTGGCCAGGCTGCACCAATGGCCAGGGGACACCAGACCTGCTTCGCTGTGGGCTGACCAGGATGCACCAATGGCTGGCCTGGAGAACATCAAGTGGGAGGCCCTGCTCGGTCCCCTCCCGTCTGCGTGTCCAGAGACCTGGTGGAGGTGGACCCCTAAGCTAGGGCACCGCTGTTCCCACTGGCCTAGATGTCCTGCAGGATCCATGAAGAAGTCCTCTGGGGGGCCTGGAGGCCAGGACGGGCACTGGACACCCAGAACCAAGAAGAAAACTCAGCCTTCCTGTAATGTGGCCAACACACATCAAGTGCCCAGATGTGCCCGCGCACAGGCGTGAGCAGAAGGGCGCCCCTGGCACCTGGGCGGTGGTGCCCACAGCGGGGGGCAGGGCTCCAGGAGAGAGGAGTGAAGCCTGTGTCTCCTGCCCACGAGTCCCACCTTCCCTGGATGGTGTGCGCACGGACAGATGTACGTGTACGAGGCCCTGCAGGACCGTGCTCATGGCACAGCGAAGCCGTCTCCACCGTCCTGCCAGCAGCTTGAGCATAGGCTCTGGGCCCCGTGTGCCCGCCTCGGCCCCTCCCTGCAGACTCCAGTTCAGAAGGAGCTGGTAGAAAAACCCTTTTATTTTCATTTTTTTAATCCCTTTTTTTAATTAGCTAGTCACTCCCTGCCACCAGCCCCGTCGCCCCTCCCTGCCCTGGCCCGCGGCCGCGTGCCGAGTCTAACCTGTGGCCTTGCATGTCCCGGGCAGGGAAGCGCGGGCGGCGCAGCAGTGCGGGATCGCTAGAGAGCGGTGTGGACGTAAGTAGGGCGCCTGCCTTCCGGCTGTGCTGCCTCCCTGCCCCGGCTCACCTGTGTCTTCTTAGTGCCTTGTTTGGCTCTTCCCTGCTGCCGAGAGGCACAGACACGCCCCACCCTGCCTGCCGCCCGCCCGGTGCATGCCAGCTTCCCTGCTAGACCTCCGTGTGTTTGTGCTGCAGTTGGGGGGCCGGCTCGGGTTGTGTGTTCCAGCTCCCACTCCCGTCCGCTGTGGCCCTGGCATGGTTGTTAACACCCCTGGCTCCTGGCCGCCTCACCCGCCCCTCACCCTGCCCACCAGCCGGTCTCACTGCCAGTCTCTGGACCTTGCTCCCAAGTCCCCACTGCTTCCCTCCTGGAGGTCCTGTTCCATGTGTCTGCAGATAGGGTGCCGTGGGGTTCGCAGCTGGGGGAGGGGAGAGCTGTGGATTTCATGAGATTCCATCCACCCTCCAGCCATCTCTGTACTGCTGTCCGCATCTCACCCTCAGCTTCAGATCTTTTGTTTCTTCTTCCTTGTTTGGTTTGCAGTCGGTAGCGGCAGTGAAATGCTAGGCAGTCCCCACACCCAGGACGAGTCTTCCGAGCCTCTCCTGTTCCTTCTCCATCCTCCCAGGGAACTGGGGTCCCACCTAGGCAGAGCAGATGCCCCGGGACCCTCCGAGAGGACCCGGGATAGTGAGGCTGCACATCAGCAGAAACGGGTTTCTCCATGCACACTGGCCCAGCCGGCTGCCGTGCGTGACAGGGAACTTGTCAGGGTGCGAGGACGAAGGAGGGTCCCTCCCTCCTGCCTCAGCCACCTCCTCTCACTAGCACGCCCCTCCCAAGCCCTCTCTGTCCGCCCCCCCACCCTGCCAGCTGCCCAGCCTCACCCAGCCCTGCCCTCTGCACAGTGAGTTGGACTAAACTAAGCTGTTAGTGGGTGAACTTTTTACATTAAGAAGAAACTCATTCTGACATACGTCTTGAAGATCTTTTAATTCTGATCTCTGTGAATTTCCTTTTTAGGGGCCCATCATTAGCAGTCCTCACACGCGCCGGAGAGCTGCATCAACACGAGAGTGTCCATCTCGCCCACACCAGGCTATGCCCAACTCCTCCTCCCTCCTGGGCTCCTTGTTTGGGAGTAAGAGAGGGAAGCCCCCTCCTCAAGTCCACCCGCCCTCAGCCCCTCCACAGCCACCCCCACCCCCGCCGGGCCTGCCCGCCCCGCCGCACCCAGTGACAGGCCATCACCAGGGGCCTGCAGAGGGCCCGCCACAGGCCCCGATGCACGGGCACCCTGCCCAGTACTGCTACCTGCAGCAGAGCCCGCCCCCCTACCACCACCACCACCACCACCACCCGCCCCAGCACGCCCAGCACGTGCACCGGCACCACCACGGCCCCCGTGGGGCACACCTGCCCCACGCGGTGCTCACGCACAGCCACCCGGGCCTGCCCTCGGCCCACGCCAGCCATCCTGGCCACGCGGGCCATGCAGCACACCACCACGGGCAGGCCCCGGCCCCCCCGCCCCCCACCAGCAGCAAGGCCAAACCCAGTGGCATCAGCACAGTCGTATAGACAGTCTGGGTGGGGCCCAGACCCCGGACACCAGTGCCCAGCACACAGGCAGCCTGGGCAGCCAGCCTCAGACCAGACCCAGGGCACACCCCTCCGTCTCCCCACCTCCCCACGGCCCGGGGGGCCCCTGGGCCTGTGGTGGGGAGCAGAGCTCCTGGTCAGTTCAGCATCGGCGCCCGGCTCCATCCACCTCGGCCACCAGCAGCCTTGAAACGGCACCTCCGGCCGAGGGGAGGTGGGGCCCCACAGCCCTGAGCCCTGCCCTCCCTGACCTGACATGTGAGAGCCTAGAAGGAAGACACGACACAAACCAGGCAGAACAGGACAGACCCACACTTGCTGCATTATTGCCCTTTCACTGACAATGGGCAAAGCTAAGTAGACCTGGTATGGTTGATGAAAATACGTAAGTAAACTTTATATAATATAAATATATAAATATATAAATATATAGATATATATATATATACTGTATAGGTAGTATTTTGTGTGTGAAAGGCAAACATTTCAGTCCTAAATTAGCAATATAGACTGCAAGGCGCTGCACTCACCTGGCAGCAAGACTCACCTTAGAGGAACGGGAGCGCAGGACCCAAACGCAGGGGCAGCTCAGCTACTTCCACGTCCTCATGAAAAGCCGAGAAGTCCCTCTAGGACTAATCATTACTAACTGTGCCAAGTAACATAGCATCTAACTGTTTAAACGTCCAATATCGCTTTATATAAATCCTTATTTTATTAACAGAATGATATCATACGTAATCAGCATTATAACTGCGCTGTTAGTTCAGGTAAGCAGATAGGTCAGATGCAGTAAACTAGCTCAGGATGACGGCTGGGAGCTGGTGTCCTAGACTCGGTCCCCAGACGCGCAGGCACTTCATGGCTGTGGCTACTGTGAATCTCCCTGCCGGTCTCGGGGTGACGATGCACTCATGCAGCCTCCGGGGGCGTCGTGCACTGCAGAGCCACCTCCAGCCCGACTCCCCTCCTTCCTGCACGAACTCCCTCCCCCACGCCCGCCTGCAGCCCGCGGGCGTCCGATTAGCGCAGGGCGGTGTGTGTGCCCGTCTCCGCCTGGCCCTTGTGACGTCCTGTAGCCGTGTCCTCGCTGCCTCCGGCCCGCCGCCCGGCCTCGCGTGACCCGGCTGCGCCCTTGCTGCTTCCATCCGTCCGTCCGTGATGCCACCTGCCCCCGGGGGCGCCACCCCGCTGTGCCCCGCACCCACGGCCGTGCTTTGTAGTTTCAGCCCTTGGAGCCACCGCAGCCGGCCGGGCGGGGCCCCTGAGCCGCGGGACCGAGGACCGCCCACGGCGCCTGCCCGGGTGGAGGAGCCTTCAGCAAGGGCGAAGGTCACGCAGGACTGGGCTGCGGCCCCTCGGACGGACCAGACGGCAGAGGGGCCCCTGGCCAGCCGGCTAGGAGCCTGTCCCTGCCCCTCCCCCGGCGCTGCCCTGTCGTCGAGGCCACTATACCAGCAAATCTGCGCACGAGCACCGGCCGGCACCGCCTTGGACTCGGCCTCCCCACCGAGAGGGGACTTGGACCTGCCGCCTGGCCTTCCGTCGGTGCGGATCTCCTGCCCAGCGCACCGGCCGGTTCGTCCAGGCCCAGCGGGTGGGAAACCCCCAGTCCCACTGACTCCTGAAGCCAAGGTTTTCCTCCGACGCCAGGCTCCCGGGCTCTGTCTGCGGCGTGAAGGGTGTTGCTCTGACGAGCCGTCTGCACTGTCACCAGTGTCGCTGTGAGGCCGCACCCTGTATCGTGTATTTCCAGATGTCAGTGTTACTGTTGACAAATAGTTGAAGTAAAGTGGTAACATATTAAACATGTGGCCCTGCTCACCCCTCTGTGCGACGGTGGAGCCCTCCGACGCAGGCTCCGGCTTGTTCCCGAACAGAGCCAGGCGGCGGGCGCAGTGCGCTGCAGGGCCGGCTGTTGGGAGGAAGCTCACGGGGCCGGGAGGGCTCCCCTGTGTGCCTGTGCTCCGGGGGCCTTCCGGACTCACCCCGACTGTTCTCCCCCCGAAGCTTTGGCAGGTGCCCCGGCCAGCTGGTGACACAGGGCTTCTTAAACAATGTCAGCTTCTCCCCAGGTTTCCAAGTTTGCCGAAGTTACCGGGTTCAGATCAGTGGGGCTTTAGTCTCGGTGTGTTGTTTGCAAACCTATCCTGGGTGATGTTTCCAGAAGTACTTGTTCCCCTGAAGAGGCTGGAGCCACGCTGCCCAGAGCTCCGGGAGCTGTGCTCTGGACCCCAGCTGTCAGTCACAGTGAGGGGGCCCACCTTCCACAGAGCCCCCCCATCCCTGCAGGGGGCTGAGGCCACAGTGTGTGTACCACCTTGTCTGTCAGGACATGACATTTTCTCAAGTCCCACCAGTTACTTCAGTTATATGATTTCTGACTGGAGCAGGAGACCCTTGGAGGAGACATCTGGTAGCATCACAAAAATCTTTTCTGGGACAACCATTATATCGTGTATCTGTGTGTCTATGTTTATGATGAACTGTACGATGCTGTAAAATAAAGTCCATCCCAACACGACATGCACATCTGCTCCACAAGGTCTGCAGCCCCCACGGAGCGCGGCCCAGGGAGCTGAAAGGCGGCAGACAGACCCGTGGCCCCGGCATGGACTCGGCGTCCATGTGCAGTGTCTACCGGGGGGCCTGCCTCTTCCAGTTTTGTAGAAACACCATCCCTCTTCCTGCCTGAAAAATGAGTCATTTTGTACATATTTTAAATAACAACAATAATCAAGGGCACAGGTTGCACAGAGAATCGGTGTGAAGGGGGAGAAGGGACCACTGCTCCAGGGACTCGTGCTGGTGTGCACCGTGGTGTCACGTTCTGTCTGCGGTCTCTCTGGGTCCTGTGCGGTGTCATCTGCCTTTGAGTCGTTGATGAGAATCGGGTCTGGAATGCAGACTGTTCCAAGATTCAAGGGCCACCTCGCTCACCGGGCGCCTGACACCCGTCACTGGGCAGCGAGGGGTTTCCATGCGCATCCTGTTGTGAGCAGTGACGGACTGCTGGTGTAAAACCACAGCTGTGGCCATGTGCAGGAAGCCAATAAACCCTTTAAAACCCTCGGGTCCTCACCTTTTCTGAAAAGTCCAGGTGTTTCCTACTGGCCACAGAGATTCCCAGCTGACGGGCGTGGGCCCTGGGTTCCGGGAGAACACTGGCCTGCGTTCCATTTCAGAACGCCGGTGAGAAAGGCGCGTCTCAGCTCCGACTCCTGTGGACATCAGAGGTGTTCATGAGGTCTAGCGGCTTCAGATGTCCGTGGTCTCATCACGTTAGAGGAGGTGGCCCCATGAGGGGTGGGGTGGCCGGGAATGACCAGCCCCCACATGCTGGAGGAGGGCTCGGTTACTGAGGTCCGCGTTGTCTGTTTCCACGTTGGTCAGGTGACGTGCAGCCAGGGAGGTGAGTTCCGATTCTCCTGGAGGAGGGAGAATGCGACGGACCGGTACCGTTGCTTCTCTCCTGGCCCAAATTCCGTTCCAGGGACTCCTACCTGGGAGTTTCAGGACGTACCATAGGATGAAGTGACACTGGTAGTTTCTATTTGTGAAAAACCAAAAAGGTTAGTTTTAGTGACCAAAAGAAACCGTGGCTCACCCCTCACAAAGAGGTGAATTTTGATCAAAAGGTGTTCTCAGATGTCTGCACCGGGCAGCCACTCCAGCCCCCTCAGCTTCTCCTCAGCCTGGAGCCGGTCACTAAAGTCCCAAAGTCCGTCCCTCACCTTCAGCGTCCTGTCGGCACCGCTGGCGGCTCAGCAGGTGAGCCAGGGTGTGGGGAGACGACTCCCACAGCTGTGAGCTCCCTGGGGCGAGGGGTGCACCTCACAGTGACCAGCACAGGACTGACTGGTGGTGTCAAAATACACCTGAAATGATGGTTGGTGGGGGAGGGAGGGTCACGGCAAACCCCAGTTCATCTTCATCTAAATCGTCATCAGAATTGTACGGAAACGTGTCTGCTCAGCCTTTGCTGCCCTTGACATGGAGACGTCCAGCTGGGGCCACGAGACTCTGTCAGACGTCACAGATGGGGTCCGTGCTCGCTGCCTGTCCTCACCGTGCGGGATGCGTCTCCAGCCCTCACCTGACCGTGCAGAGCTCTTGGGGCCGTTCAGGTTCTTTCCCACGACAGCGTTTCTGTGGCACCTCTGGCCGCACCCTGCCTTTCCTCCTGGGGTGCCGTCACTGTCTCCTCGGCAGTGAGCGGCCCGCAAGGCCATGAGATTGGGTTGAGGATCGGGGCTGCACTCTCCCTCTGGCTGCTCTACACGGGGGACAGTTTCCGTCCCTGCCTGCCAAGCGCCCCGAGGTGGGTCTGTAGCCCAGGCCTCCACTCTGAGCACCCGTGTGCCTTGGGGCTTCATCTTCGTGACCAAGGTTGTACACACACACACACACACACACACACACACACAGGGCAGAGGCACCACCACCGACTCGTTGAGGGAGATTTCAGGGCCTATCCTGACACATCCTCTTCTTGACAAACCCTCTGAGCCCTTTTGAATGAGCTCCTCCACGTTCTTGAATCCACTTGTTGCAGCCTCACTCTGCTTCAGGCCACAGCCTGCACCACTGTGGCTCCCTCTGTCCGTTCTCAACAGGGCGTCACAGGACCTTTTTAAACGTGTGACCTCTTTAAAGCCATGTCAGAGGCTTCCTGTTGCCCTTGTTCAAACGCCAATAACCACGTGGCCTCGGGAGGCTGTGTGGGCTCGGCCTGCGCCCCTCACTCCCACGCCTGAGCCTTCCAGGGGCCCAGATGGCTGTGACCCTCCTGCCACGGGGCCTGTTCCCGTGTGCCCCCTCCTGTGTTCACGGAGCCCATGTCAGCGATGCGGCTGAGGCTGGCCGGTGGCCCTGCAGACACATCACCTGCAGGCAGTGCTCACTCTGGTGCTTCTGTTGCAGGACGTGTCAGGGTCAGCGCGTGGCACCGAGTCGGACTTTCATACGTGTCTGTCGAGAGTGTGACGACCACAGCACCAGGCAGGGACCCCAGGGCTGAAGGGCTGGCGGTCGAGGTTCAGACAGCGATCGGAGACAGGAAGCCACCGGGCGAGTGCGGGAAGGCACCGGTCCCACCCACACGCCTTCCCAGTTCAGGAGCAACGTGGGCAGCGGCAGGAGGGTCTCGACCTTTGTGTCTTAATGTTCGCCAATCGTGTGCTCACAGTGAGCGCATTTGGAACAACTAGATTTATAAAACGCAGGGGGAACATCACCCACAACCCCACCAACCCTGAAACAGTTATAATCATTGGGTCTATTTTCAGTCCATCCTTTCTTCACACGTGTTTCTGTTACCTCCTGGTTCAGACCTGCTGTGTGTGTCCAAAAGGGGCGTAAGTGTTCTTTGGTGCCCCTCATAAAAAATAAAAA